ATAAGTCTCCCGGCCCTGATGGCTTTTCGTCAGAGTGGTATAAGACTTTCCGATCTGAATTAATACCGAGTCTTCTTCAGGCTTGCAATACATCTTTAATGGAGGCCAAAATGCCTCAATCATGGAGTGAGGCAGTGATCTCAGTTATCCCAAAAGAGGGAAAAGATCAATTAGAATGCAGTTCATACAGACCAATTTCGATCCTGAACGTCGATTACAAATTTTATACAAGCATCCTTGCCAAAAGACTGGAAAAGATTCTTCCCCAGCTAATTCATAATGATCAGACTGGGTTTATCGCTCAAAGACAAACTCATGATAACATTAGACGATCTCTGCATATATTAAATCGTATCCAACAGAACAAACTTGAAGCTCTTTTAATTAGTTTAGATGCGGAAAAGGCTTTTGATCACGTAAGTTGGCCTTTCCTATATAAAGCCCTTGAAAGATTTGGCATTTACAATTTTTTTGTTAGGGGCATCCGTACACTATATAATAAACCATCTGCCCAGATAAAAATAAATGGGTACCTTCCAGATACCATTATTTTAGAATGTGGATTAAGACAGGGGTGTCCAATTTCACCACTGCTTTTTGTGCTCTATATAGAGCCTCTTGCTCAATGGATAAGGCAGACTGAAAATATCAAAGTCATCTGTATAAATGGAGAAGAACACAAATTGGCCTTATATGCGGATGATATTTTGATTTAAGTAAATCCACCAACTCATTTCCTAAATTAATGAATCATCTAGAAAAATGTGGTCGATATGCAGGATACAAATTAAATATACAAAAAACGCAAACTCTGACTTTTAACTATACACCTCCAAAAAAACATATTAGAGATAAATTCAACCTCAACTGGGATCAGAATTCACTGAAATATTTAGGAATATACTTAACGAAAGAAATTTTGACAGTTTAGACCCACTTTTAACAAAAATCAAGGATGATAAGCTCTTGATGAGCTCTTTCCTTGGCCTTAGTCTTAGAATTGACTCGATAAAGATAAACATCCTTCCACGATATCTCTATTTATTTCAAGCAATTCCTGTAGAAATTCCCTTAAAATATTGGTCTGAATTAAATAAGATCATTTCCAGATTGATTTGGCAAGGGAAAAAACCCAGGATTAAATTCAAAACATTACAGCTCCCAACGGAGGAAGGAGGTATGGCATTACCCCATTTTAGGGATTATTTTTACGCAGCCCAGACTAAATCTTTAATTAACATATGTAATCCAACATACCAAGCTAGATGGAAAGATATGGAACTTTCCATAATGAATGATCCCCCAATTCAAGCAGTATTGGCACATAAAAGTTTGGGAAGATTTATAGATAAGGTGCAAAACCCATGGATTAAAGCCCAACTAAAAATCTGGAATACAATAAAAGAATATAAACTAGATCGTAAATTACAAATAATTCAATGGTGTGCCTATGACCCTAAATTTAAGCCAAATAGAATGTATTATAGATTAGGGGTGGGGGAAAAAATCGATACAGCATAGTATCGCGATATTTTCCGCGGCAATACTGTATCGCTACACGGACGCCAAGTATCAATATCTTTTATTATACTATTTGGTAGAATAATAAAATCAATTTCTTTACAATCCACTAGATGGTGATGTTGAGATTTTTCTGGTCCGCCCCGCCTCGTCACTTCGCGGTTTGACGCTCCGCTCAATATTCCGATCTATGAATGTGCGTTCCGCTCGTGTACCGCTCATGCTCATCGGAAAAGCAAAGTCTGCTCAAATAACGCGCTGACAGGAGATTTCTATGCAGTATAGGCCTACTTGCTCCGGTTTGCAGTAGCGCTACTGTGCTGTAACATGGTGTAGGCTAGTTCAGCTTGATAATATCGTATCGTGAGGCCTCTGGTGATTCCCACCCCTATTATAGATTCAAATCTTGGGTCTCAAAAGGAATAACAACATTCTATTCTCTTACGGAAAAGGGAAATTTGAAAGACTTTGAAAGTTTGAAGAAAGAATACTGCCTTGAGAAATCAGATTTTTATAGATATCTCCAGCTAAGCAATCATTTGGAAAACAACATCAAAAATAAAAGTCTTTAATGACCCAATATTGAAGATATTTACAGGTGCTTAACAAGGTGATTTAAATAAGGGTGTAATTTCTACATTTTATAAAGGTCTTAGGATAAAAATAACTCACTCTACAGAATACATTAAAGAAAAATGGGAAAAAGAAGGTAATTTTTTGATAACGAATGATAGGATAACGAATGATAATGGAGTGGCTTGATGTATGTAAATTCCCGTGGAAATGTACTAACTCTCACCTATGGCGGGAGTTTGGGTGGAAGTGCCTTATCAGATTTTTTATTACACCGATACACAAAGCGCATATTGAGGGAGGGGACACCAAATGTTGGAGACAGTGTGGGTTTTCGGGAAGCCAATCACTGGCATATATTTTGGGAGTGCCCAGTGATAAAACCTTTCTGGGCAGAGCTTCATAAAGCAGTGGAAAGCATTTTTAACACTACACTGCCTTTGGACTTTTCCACATTATATTTAGGAAATGCTGATTTCCAGACAAGATGGCCTGAAAGATACCTATTTGGCATTTTAACATCTGCTGGTAAAAAAGCACTTACAAGGCATTGGTTGCTTCCTGAACCCCCCACAATACAAGAATGGAAGGATATAGTAAATTATATTTATGTTATGGAAAAGATTACTTTTTGCCTTCATCTTCAGAATAATGTGTTCAGAAAAGTCTGGTCCAAGTGAGTCGAATATGTAAGGCCATTACGGCCAGACTTTGTGGAGGTATAAAACAAATGACCCTTCCCTTCTGAATGAAAAATTTTATTGTAATCTCCCTTACATACTCATAGTCTATTGTTCTATACCTGTACATACAATTGTCGATTTGTATATTTTTTATTCCTTATTTTACTTGTTCTATTTTTTATTTTTTATTTATTTTTATTTTTTATTATCTGTGTTTTTTTGTTCTGTCACTGTCATTCTGTTACACTGTGGAAGCTTCCACAGAAAACACGAAAAGTTTTCTTTTCGTAAAACACGAAAAGTTTTCTGTCACGAAAAGTTTCTTTCGTGACAGAAGCTTCGGTCACGAAAACAAATTCCTCGTATGTGTAAACATACCTGGCAATAAAGCTCATTCTGATTCTGATTCTGATACCTTTTCCACATCGGAAACCAGCGGACTTTTTCCCCACAGTCTCCATCATAGACCAAGAACAAACACTTAACATTATTTAGTATGGAGTTTGATTATTAAGTATATACCTGACCTCCCCCGAATTGTAAAAATGATTATTGTTATTAATATTATTTAATTTTTATTTTATTTTGTTTGTTATTTTGTTTTGTATTATGTAAAAAAATAAAAATTGAATGGCAGAGAAGAATGTAACTACATCTGTTTTGAAATAATGTACTGTCGTTTATGCTGTTACATCAAAATAAAAAATTTCAAAAATAAAAAAAAAGAACTTTGATAATTAGAATTAAAACTTGGTAACCATGTATGAATGCATAAACATTTTAACAATTTAGGACTGGTGGTGGTGCTTTTTTGGTCATTCAGTGTTTCTGTAAAAAAACAAATGGGAAAAAAATAACAATAATACTGATATTATTAGCTGAAATCAAAACAGGGATGATAATAGATGAGCACCAGCCAATGAGATTGCTGTTTGCGCATTAGTTCCGCCTACTACCGGAAAACCCGGCAGTTCTTAAAAGCTGAAAAAATCCAAAGGAACTCCGTTATTCTGACAGGAAACTACAACAAAGAATATCTTTTACATGTAGCGTGTCAATTCCAAAGCAACGGCGAGTCGTGTGCCGTTACACTAGAGTTCACGGTACGTCAAATACAGGTGCGCTTCGCATCCATTCAGATGAACTGAGAAATATCACAGATCGCTTGACGGAGAGAGACACTCTGAAGCGTTCTGTGAGTGA